CTCCCTCTGCTTGCCACTCCCCCTGCTGTGCTCTCTCTCTCTCCCCTTCCCTCTCTGACAAATAAATACAATCTTTAAAAAATGTACAAATCACACACATGGCATCATATATCCAGAATATATAAATAACTTTTTTTAAAGATTTACTTATTTTAGAGAGAGAGAACATGTGCGAGCACATGTGTATGAGAAGGGGGAGGGCCAGAGGGAGACAGAATCCTCAAGCGGACTCCCCGCTGAGCATGGGGCCCCACACAAGGCTTGATTCCAGGACCCTGAGATCAGGAACTGAGCCAAATCCAAGAGCCAGACACTCAACCGACTGAGCCACCCAGGCGCCCCATATATGGAGAATTACAACTCAACAACAGAATGGCAACCCAATTACAACTGGGCTAATAATCTGAACAGACATTCCTCCAAAGGAGAGATGCGAATGGCTGCTAGCCGCATGAAAAGATACTCAACACAATTAGTCACCAGGGAAAGGCAAATCAAAACCACAGTAAGGTACACTTCCTACCCACGAGGGTGGCTAGAGTCAAGAGGCAGAAACTAAGAAGTGTTGGTGAGGAGGTGGAGAAATTGGAGCCCTAAGACACTGCGAGTGAGAACACAAAATGGTGCAGTCGCTTTGGAAAACAGCCTGGCAGTTCCTCAAACCTGAAACACAGAGTGATCCTATGATTCAGCAACTCCATCACGAGGTACATGCCCAGGAGAAATGAAAACCTACGTCCACAGGAAACTGTGTGCCCCATGGGTCATAGGGGCCCCGACTCCTAACAGCCTATGGGTGCAAACAGCCAAATGTTCGCCAACTAGTGAACAAAAGTAGTCTATCCGTCCCGTGGAATACATTTGGCAATGGTGAGAATCGAGCACTGATACACGGGACAGCGTGGATGAACCCTGAAGACACCATGGTAAGTGCAAAAGTGGGGCTCAAGGAGGAGCAGGAAGGAGAATGATAGCTAATAGTTAAGGGGTTTTGGGGGAGCTGTTGAAAATGTCTTAAAATTGAGTGTAATATTCACAGAACTCCGTGAATAGGCTAAAATCCCTGAACTATACACTTTAAAAAAATGTTTTTAAGATTTTATTTATTTGATAGACAGAGATCACAAGTGGGCAGAGAGGCAGGCAGAGAGAGAGGGGGAAGAGGGCTCCCTGCTCTGCAGAGAGCCCAATGCTGTGGGGCTCGATCCCAGGACCCTGGGATCATGACCTGAGCCAAAGGCAGAGGCTTTAACCCACTGAGCCACCCAGGGGCTCTGTCACTTTTTAAATTTTTTAAAGTAGGCTCCATGCCCAACGTGGGTCATGAACTCATGACCCTGAGATCAAGAGTCACACGCTCTCCAGACTGAGTCAGCCAGGCACCCAGAACCATATCCTTTATTTTTATTTATTTATTTATTTATTTATTTATTTATTTATTTATTTATTGGTGAGGCATTGAATTACACCTTAGAGAACTTCTTTTTTTAATTGAGGTTTTCAAACATACAAAAGTGGAGAGAATAGTATAACAGACTCTCCCATGGGTACCTCACCCAGCCTCAGACCTCCGCACACGGCCTCACAGAAATCCCCACCCACTTCCCCGCTATAACCTTTATGGGATCATTTCCACTCGAATCTCAGAAAGCATAACATTCCCTAGAAACACACTTCAATAAATAAAGACTCTTTAGTTTTGTTGGGTTCCCCCCAAAATTGGGGAACCCCAATAATGGGTCCGTGATTAAAGGAGCGAGACTGATACAAAGCGAAGGTCAAGCAAAGCTTTATTCCGCGCCAAGCATCAGGAATCATACCGACTGTCAAACAGACCGGTCGGGGCCGCCCCTCCAGAGAGGACGACCGAACCATATCCTTTAAATGGATGAATATTCTGGTACGCACACGAATATATGTATGAATACATTTCAACGAAGCTGTAAAAATTTTTTTTTGTTTTAGGAAAACCTGGGGGAAGTTCAACACAGTCTGTTGGATGGCTATTTGGGAACTGTTAATTTTGTTGGGAGTGGGGGCGCCTGGGTGGCTCAGTGGGTTAAAGCCTCTGCCTTCGGCTCAGGTCATGATCCCAGGGTCCTAGGATTGAGCCCTTCCTCCGGCTCCCTGCTTAGTGGGGAATCTGCTTCTCCCTCTCCCTCTGCCACTCCCCCTGCTTATGCTGTCTCACTCTCTCTCTCAAATAAATAGATAAATGAAATCTTTTTAAAGTAAGTAAATAAAACTCCGGTTCTGGGCAGGGCCTGTGAGCCACTGGCTGTGAGCCACTGAGAGGTGAGGGCAGGGCCTGGGAGTCTGCAATTTTGGGAGTGCGACACAGGTGGGGCTGGTGCTTCAACAGGCTCGGAAGCCAGGTCGGAGCCTCCCGAGGGGGCTTCGATGACAAGTACATACTTCAAGCAAGGGGAGCCCAGATTTCCTCCCTCGGCAGTTCTCAAAGGGGGCGACTTGGCCCCCAGCCGGCATTTGGCAAAGTCTGCAGACAGTTTTGGTTGTCACCACCAGGGGTCGCTCCTGGCACCTGGATGGTAAAGGCCAGGATTGCCATCCTACATCCCCCAGTGCACAACAGTCTTCACCCCAGACAATTATCCGTGAGCACAAGGAACACTGCAACCCCAGTCCCTCTAGTAAGGACTTGTTGCGGTGCCCGAGCCCCAGATCTGGCAGTGTGCTAACCGTGCCTGTGGAGCCCTGCAAACCTTCTTTCAAGAGCCTCCTTATTGCCAGCCCTCGTTTTCTGGGCACCATTCAGCCCGTCTGGGGTGGGTGCTAGGGCTGGCAGACTAGTTTTTCCCCACTTGGGGCCGTCACACCTGGACAGGTGTTTGTAAAGGACGGCGGAGGACACTAACTCAGCCAACCCCAAAGGAAGGGGGGTCAGGGGCAGTTGAGGTGACCTGGACATCGACATGACATTGGGTCTGCCAGTCGGACCAGCTGGTTGGTGCACTTAGCTAAGGAGCTTGCACCATCCCAGAGCCGGCTACCATGGCAACCCCCTTGAAGGGGAGGGGCTGGGAGGCGGTCATAGTGGTAACCCCAGCAACCTCAGCCAGGCCTGCGGGCGGCACATTCTCTAGCCCTAGGTGTGCAAACAGTCTAGTGCACACCCATGTCCGACCTGTCTGACAGCCCCCTTCACGAGCTGGCTGGGTTACTCTGGGTACTGTGCATTCTAAAGATTTTCTTTATTTATTTGATAGAGATCACAAGGAGGCAGAGAGGCAGGCAGAGAGAGAGAGAGGAGGAAGCAGGCTCCCTGCGAAGCAGAGAGCCCGATGTGGGACTCCATCCCAGGACCCTGAGATCATGACCTGAGCTAAAGGCAGAGGCTTAACCCATTGAGCCACCCAGGCGCCCGGTACTGTGCATTCTAGAAGCCTCTACCCATCAAGTCAGGCTGGGGGTAGGATGCTCGGACACTGTGTCCATGTTTCCAGCCTCCAAGGCCTCTGTAACCTGAACTGGGCCACCCGTGCTGCCTTCTTTGTCTCTAGCGACGATTCCCATCTTCCAGTCTGTCTTGTCTGATACGAGCCGTGTCAGACTCCAGCTCTCTGCTGGTTGCTGCCTGCAGAGAATATCTTTCTTCTGTCCTTTTACTTTCCACTTATTGGTCTTTGAATCTAGAATGTGTCTCCTGTAGACGGTATAGTTAGATCATGCCTTTTTTCTTCTGGTCGATTCTGCCAGTCTCTGGGGTGTGTGTGTGTGTGTGTGTGTGTGTGTGTGTGTGTGTGTGTGTGTGTGTAATGTGTGTTAACACGAAGAATTCAGTGGCATTCAGTACATTCACAAGGTTGGCAACTGTCACCACTATCTAGTTTACGGACATTTTTATCACCCTGAAGAGAAACCCCATCAGCAGTCACTCCCATAGTCTCCTACCTCCAAGCCCCTGGCAGACGTTAATCTTTCTATCACTACCAATTTGCCTGTTCTTGATGTTTCATGGAAACAGAAGCATGCAGTCGTGTGTGTCTTGCTCCTTCACTGGGCACCTGGTTTAACCTTGGTCTGTGTTGCCCTGCCTCTCAGCCCACCTTGGCCAGACTGCACCTTCTCCCTGTCCCTCAGGGCTCCGGTGCTGAGGTCCCGGGCATCCCGGTTTCCCTGCTCAGTTCAAGTCTCTGGATAATACTAACAGTGGCCGCTGACTGGACGCCCAGAACACCTCGAGCTCTGTGCTGAGCACCTCCCACACATGATGTGGTTTAGTACCAACCCCAAGCCAATCCTGAGAGGAGGAAACCACAGTCCTCCCCCGGCCCAGTGGGTAAGTGATAGCACACTCAGCAAGCCACCTTCCTATGCCTTTCACCGACTCTCTTGGCCCCTGGTTTGCACCAGCTTCCCATTTTCTGACACTGTGTGACTTCAACTGGGTTAACCTCTCAGTGCTTCAATTCCTCACCTGTAAGCTGGGGACGGGAACTGCAACTGTCTTACAGAGGTGCTGTGAAGATCAAAGGGGCTAACAGACGTAAGCCTCCGGCTCATCTGGAGCTTGGTGCTCCTTCTAGGGGATTCCCTGGGGAGGGAGCCAAACAGAGCCTTGAGGGTGAAGGGGAAGGAGGAGATTAGGGAACCAGAGAGTGGCAGAAATTTGGTGTTTCCAAACTCTTTTCATCACTGCAAAAGGAGACCTCATAACCACTAGGCTATCCTTCCCCATTCCCCCCCGCTGCAACTTTCCCCAGGTCCCTGGCAACCACCAGTCCGCTTTCTGTCTCTACGGATTTGCCTGTTTCACACAAACGGAATCATACCATATATGGCCTTTTGTGTCTGGCTTCTTTCCTCAACACTTGACAAAGGACACAAGCTTGGAGCTTTGGTTCTGCCTGACTCCAAAGCCCCATTCCTGCTCCTGCGTCTGGGGACAGCCCATCACAAGGGGTATACGGGAACAGGGGGTAAGATGCCTGGGAGGAGAGCAAGGAGGGCAGGAAGCTTCTGGAGGCCAGGTGGTTTACCTTTGCCGTGGCTTCTTCATTGCCCTCCACCATCTTCCGGAGCTTGATCAGGTGCCACAGGTCCTGGGCGGGCTGGCCCTTGCCGCGGCTTCTCTCCAGCAGCTGGGCAGTGGAGGGCAGGTCCTGCAGCGCGGCGAGCTGGCTCTCCATCTTGTCGATGCGGCTCACCACGTGGTCAAACACATTGCTGAGCCTCTTCATGGGGCTGAGGACGGGCTGGGCGTCCGCTTCCCGGGGCATGAATACCGCTGGCGAGGACTGGAGAAAGTCCTCATCTCCCGAGAGGACCTTCTTGAGCTCGGCCATGTGGATGTGCTCCAGGATGCCCTGAAGCAGGACGTGCAGAGCCTTGAAGTTCACCACCCCGCACTGCGGGACGGCGATGTTGACCAGCTCGGAGAACGTCAGCGAGAAGCTCATCCCGCTGGGAGGCTCGGCGGGGCTGGGCTTCTGGGCGTCCGTGGGGACGAGTGGTGGCTTTCAGAGAACCCACCAGCTGTCCGGACAGGTCCCCTGAGGCCCGGGGAGGCGGCGGGTCATGGCGGTCAGGGAGAAAATGGCCCCTTTCCCAGCCAGAGCCCAGATGAGAGCTTCTGGTTGCTAGGACACCAGAGAATGTGGGCGAGTGCGCATGCTTCCGAGAGCCCAAGTGGGGCCCGGTGGGCGCTCAAGGAGAAGGTGCTGGGTGTTTGAACAGACGGACGTCAGCCTTTCATTTCAAGCCCTTCTGTGATGGGAGACTGACGACCCCTTCCAAGAAGCATGCAGCGAAGGTGATGGGGAGGCATCTCGCTCCTTAGAAGCCTCTAGAATTGGGACAGGAGAGAGTTCTTGGAGTTGGGAGAGCCTGGGTTTTGAGAAAAGAGTCTGAAGAGCAAAGCTGATCTCCAGACCCGCTGGCAAATGCCCCACAGGTGTTCGGGTTTCTGGAGGGGGTCGGGGAGGGGGTAAAAAGGGGAAGAGGCAGCTGGCTTCCCACAGGTCTGAACCAGGCATGGCACTGCCCACGGTGGGGTGGGGGGCACCAATGAGGACCCTCTTGCCAAACCTTACTCTGCTGCCCCCTAGAGCCAGGGCTCTGGAACACCCCAGTGTCCTGGGAGCTGGGAGCCAGGGGCTGCAGAACTGGCAAACCACTTGGGGCCCTATGTGGTCAGGCCCCTCTTGTGTCAATTCTTGGACAAGAAAACGGCAGCCTGCTTGTCCTGGTCTCCGAGGGAAGTCTGCAGGGAATGTCCCTGGCTTAACCCTTGGGGCCCCAACTCCGGGCCCACCCCACCATTCCGGGCAAGATACACAGCGATTATATACCGTGGGTGGCAGGAGCCCCGCTCTGGAGTGTCACTGGCTAAGGGGCAATCTCCCCCAGCTTCCCCCACAGAAAGCGGAGCGCCTGTCCACCCTGGGTTTATGGAGATGAGTGCGTGACTCTTTGTCAACAGTGGTGTGACCTGCGCAAATGACTTAACCCCCCTGAGTCTCAGCTTCCCTGCCTGCTAAATTGGAAATAAGCCCTTCCACGTGAGGTTGTTGCCAGGAGGGGCAGAGAGTGTGTGTGTGTGTGTGTGTGTGTGTACACACAGAAATAATACATGCTGGGGCGCCTGGGTGGCTCAGTGGTTAAGGCCTCTGCCTTCGGCTCAGGTCATGATCCCAGGGTCCTGGGGATCGAGCCCCGAATCTGGCTCTCTGCTCAGAAGGGAGTCCGCTTCCCCACCCATCTCTCTCTCTCTCTTCCTGCCTCTCTGCCTACTTGTCATCTCTGTCAAATAAATAAATGATCTTTTTAAAAAAAGTTGCATTACATTAAAGGAATTTGCCCATCTCAAGAGGTAAGAAAACACACACAGACCCACTCCTGCTGGGAAAAACGGTACTGATGTCCCCAGCTCAGTCTAGATCCCACTTGGATACTTTTTTTTTTTTTTTTTTTTTTGGTAACAGCTTTACTGAGCTATAATCCCCACACCATACCATCCGCCCATTTAAAGCATACAATCCTGTGATTGTAGTAGGTCACAGAGTTGTGTAATCACCACTGCAGTCAACGTCAGCACATCACTCTAACAAGGAACTCCGTACCCATTAGCACGCGCTCCCCTATCCCCCGCCCCCCGGGGCCTGGCACTCATTAACCTACTTTCTGTCTGTACAGATTTGCCTCTTCTGGACGTTTTGCATAAATGAAATCATCCCACGTGTGGCCTTTTGCAACTGGTTTCTCCCCCCATCATGGTTTCCAGGCTCACCCACGCTGCAGCAAGGGTCGACACTTTGTAGTACACTGTAGCAGGGGTCATTCCTTCCCAGGGTTGGATCCTATTCCATCGTGTGGACAGACCAGTTTTTAACCCGTCCACCCTCGGATGGATGTCTGGGCCAATTCTGCCTGTTCACTCTCGGGGACGCTGCTGCTACGGAGGGTTGTACAGCCTTCAGTGACTTGGTGCCGGCTGGGGCGGAACTGCTGGCTCAGATGCGGAGTCTGTGTTAGCGCTCTGAGCCACGGCCAGACGGTTTCCACAGTGGCTGTAGTACTTTACACCCTGCCCCCAGCTATGGGAGTTCCGACTTCCCTCCATCGACGTCACCCCTGTGACAGCCCGTCTTTGTCATTACAGCAGCCAGGGCTGTTGGCTGCTCCTTGCTCCGTGGCCATCAGGCATCGGGCTCCTAGCCCCCTGCTGTGTACTCACTTATCCTGGGCATTCAGGAGGCCTCTGGGAGATTCCCAGATGTTTAAACCGACCACCCCTCCAGTGGATCCCGTCTCCCCGAAAACGCCCAGAAACCTCGGGGAAGATGCAAGCACAGGCCGCGGGGGCCACTGTCTCTTCAAGCACATGGGCCAGCTGTGGTGCCCACACAGGGGTAACGTGGACGGACGACCTTTCCCATCCCAAACGTGTCTCTGACCCTAGCAGAAATTATAAACGACACAAAGGCCATCCCAGAGAAGCAGGTGGAATGCACATTCATGAGCGGATCACGAAGCCCTGAATTTCTTGTTGCCAACCCAGTGGGGGTGGGGGGGGACTCATGCTTAGACAGTCTTTCTTGCTGCACCTCTGTAAGCGCTACATAAACACAATGGGTCAAGTAGAACAGTTTGTGACTAGGCTTTAAAAATCAAGAGCCATGGGGCGCCTGGGGGGCTCAGTGGGTTAAGGCCTCTGCCTCCGGCTCAAGTCATGATCCCAGGGTCCTGGGATCAAGCCCCGCATTGGGCTCTCTGCTCAGCAGGGAGCCTGCTCTCCCACCATCACCCCCTCTCCGCCTGCTGCTCTGCCTACTTGTGATCTCTGCCAAATAAATAAAATCTTTAAAAAAAAAAAAAAGGAAGAGCCACCAGGCCCTCTAGGCAAAGCCAGCTGCACTCTGGGGCAGGTTTTCACAGCCTGGGGTTGGCTATCGAGGCCCCAATCTTCAAGACCTAGTACCAGAGCCAGGAGCCAGGTTTGTTCCTGGTAAGGAGCAGCAACCCACAGGTGAGAGGCCAGAACAATTCACTCTGCAGGAAAGGGGGAGGCCAGAGGGAGGATGTAACCTGAGCCCAGCTGCGAGGACACTCTTGGAACAGGCTCCTGACCGGCAACTGTGGGCCCTGGCAAAGCTCTGGATACTGCAGACCAAGCTTCTGAGGACCAGCTGTGGATACCTCTGGCTACCCAGGGTGTGGAGGGAGTGAAAAGCATCTCCTGAATCGGGAACTGGCCTGGCACTGGGGGTCCTGGGGCCTCTGGGAGGCCTTTCATATGCTCCTGTGGACACTAACAACTTCACGGAATGCTAGCCCCCAAGCCCCCGTGATGGGCCCACCCAAACCAAGACCAGCTGCAATCGTGTCTGAACTCAAATAAAAACAAGCATGTTGCCCACACCACAAACGTGACCAGACAGCCCCCTGTCCAGACTCCTAGGAGTGGCCACTGCTTCTTGACCCGCTAGAGTGTTAGCGCTCCTTTAGGCCTTCCTGCCTTCTAGATGAGGTCGAGTAGGAGACCCGATCGCAGAATCACCTCCACTTCCCAACAGCGCCAGTCCCCAACACTCCCCCATTACCCAACACGGACCCAAGTTCAGTAAGCCCTTCTAACTTAACCCCCTCCGACACACCTGGGGGCTCCTCATTGTGCTGGAAGACCTAACAATTCAAGGGCCACCCTAACGTCGTGGAGCCTCCCGGGGGCTCCTGGGTCCCCTACACTGGTCAGATGTGACCCCCCCCCACCGACCGCCACCATTGTTGGGAAAGGCTCCCCACCCAGCCGGTTCTTCCGCCAGCCAAACCAGCCACACTCCAGGGAGGGGATAGGAATTAGAAACATACTAAAACAGGACAAAATGAGAGTGAGCGATGGGCACTCATTTCATCAGGCCGGGAGGGTAGCCAGCCCCCAACGCCCCCTCCCCCACCCCGCAAAGATACCCTGTGTGGCCCCTTCCACACAATACCAGCCACATACAGTATACACCACTGTATACTGGGTACGCAATGCACACATGCATAGCACCGATCTGCGCCTATGGACACACGGGAGTTCAGTCATGGTACATTACAGAATGGCAAGATCTGGGAAAGCTGTGTTTGGTGCCACAAAACCAAAACAGTCGTGACAAAACGCAAATAAATAAATAAATAATAATAAAGGCAATGCGTTAGACTTGAGAGGACTCATAAACTTTAAAGATTCTATCATTTGAGGTCTGGGAATAAAACGCTTGTTATAGAAACAAAAGAGCCAAAGACCCGGCCGTTTGAGTGTAAGAGGAACAGTGTGACTCCACAGGCTGTGCCTTACTTCCTGGAGGGACTGCTGTCCCCAGGAGGCGACCCTGCCCTTCGGTCACCAGGAAGCAGCAGCATAGGTCCGATGGCAGAATCCCCAATCAGACAGTTTCAGGACAAACTTGTCACTGGACATTCTTTGCATGGCTGATAGAAGCCAGAGGCCAATTAACATGATTGGAAATGACCATTAACAGTATTTTCCCCTCCCAAACAAACGGACGTCAACGATTAAATCCATTTTCTAAAGTGCCGTTTGTCCACTTTGCCCAGACAAGCCATTTTTCATGTTGCATAAATAGCTACGAAGGAAAGCTATGAACAAAGTCCCCTTTCCTCTGTAGCTCCAGGAAGAACCGGGCACCAGGGAGGACTGTGGGTGAAGGGTCAGAGTCCGTGGTGAAAGTGGGCCGTTTCTGGCTGCCTGCTGTCTGGACATTCTCCTTACTGGGGGAGGGGGAGGGCAGCAGGTGGGGGTGAGGGGTGAGCTCACCAGGTGCAGCAACCTGCCCCAATCCCATCAGATCTCCCCCGCCCCACCCACCTCGGTCTCCTTGGTGGTTAGGTGTGAAAAATAAACAAGGCAACTGCCGTTCCTGGTTCTGAAATGCAGGACTAGTATTTTTATTTT